AAAAAAAAAACAAAAAGAATACACTAAAATATTCTAATTTACATATGATTGTTCAAAATTGTTAACATATATTTCTTGAGAAAATCTATTAGTGCAATTTCTGTAAGATTAAAATGTGAAATACGATGTAACTGCTATTGATAATTACAGAAAGATTTACAGAAAAGAAATTAGGTAGTAGTTCATAGATTATAATGAAACTTTATTATTGATAGAAGCGACTAGATCGAAATGAGTTATTCTTCATTTTTCTGATCCTATAATCATCAATTTAACTCCTCGATTATTTCATATATGTGTGCTGACAAATCGTTCTTTCATGGGTAGTCAACCGCAAAGGCACACAAGGTTCTTAGAAAATTTTTTCATCTGTAGACCTCGTTGTGCTGATCATTTTGATAAAAAAAAATATTGAAGTTTACTCAATAAATGATAAATTTTAAGTAAATAGAATAGTTCAGTGCATAGTTCCTCACAGAAATAATCTTCAACACCAGTTTACAAAAAAAAATGTTTGATTCGCGAAAAAAAAACCGAACAGTTTTATAATCAAACAAATTCATGCCGATTGTTTACAACTCTAGTGTATCAATACTTATGAGAGAATCATCCGATGTAACATCTCACGTTTGAGATGAGAACCCAGTCATTATGATCTTCTAAAAAGAGAGGAGACTACTCTTTTTTTAGGAGATTATTGGAATCTCATCTCAAATGTGAGTTATCACATCGAGTGGTTTCTCTCGTTAGCAAACATTCGACTAGAGATTTTTTTATTTGACTTTAAACGTTATAAACTTACTCGATCAACATAAATTTTTTTTCCATGTAATTCTGTTTGATGTAATGCATGAATACATTTTTCAACATCATCTGATGTTGCTAAATGAATATATCCAAACCATTGAGATGAACTTGATCCAATAACTTTTGTTGTTAAAACCTATTCGAATAAGACAATACAATAAAAATAAAATTCAAAATAAATAAATAAATATTTACTTTTCCATATTTTGAAAATAATGCTTTTAGATCTGATGCATGAGTTTCTTTGGCAATATTTGATACCCAAAGATAACAATCATCTAATTAAAAGAAAAATTTTGTATTTTGTTTTTTTTTTTGAAAAATAATTTTTTTTACCTTTATTTAATTTATTTGTATTATCTTTTTTTTGTTGTTCATCTGATGATTCTTGTCGATTAGTTTCACTGATAATTGAAGAAAGAAATATTTAAATTTTAAATAAATTTAAATAATTATTAAATCAAGTAATAATTCGCGCAACGAAAATAATAAACAAAGGAAAAGAAAACAACGAAACTAATTCGATAAAAAAAATAAAAAATATAAAATAATAATAAATGAATTCGTCGTTGTTGGTGGTGGTGAAATTAAGAAGAAAACATAAATCTTTTGGCCATGTGAAATGATAAACTTTTCGTCGTTGATTATTTATAGAATATATATAGATAAAAATAAACACAACTATACTCACATATAATCTTTATTTTTTCTTTTTTTTTCTTATCAATTAATTAGAATATACACGAAATCGATTGATTACCTTTTCAATAGATTATCATTATCAGTCGAAAGATTTGTTGGTGTTGTTGTATATTGTTCGTCTTCACCATGTGAATGTTCGAATGATGTTTGTTGTGGTTGTTGTTGGTGGTGTTGTGTTGTTGTTGTTATTGATTCTGTAGTATGATTAAAAAAATTCTTATTTGTTGTTTGTTGTATTTGATTATTTGTATCTAATTCTTCATCTGATGATGAACAGGATACTTGTATAAGACCATGATCAATTTTATCATTATGATTTTCATCTTCTTGATTTGTTGGTAATTGTTTAATTGTTAAAATTTTATTATTATTATCACAATCTTCAACAATTTGTTTCAAATCCATTGTATCCATACGATTTGTTTGATCATTTTGTTCATCGTCTATATCTTTTGTTAATGATGTTGTTGTTGTCGAAATTTTCATTGGTGGTGGTGATGATGATGATGATGATGATGATGATGACATTGTTGTTGTTGTTGTTGTATTTGTTTGCACTTTGAAACAATATGGATTTATTTTTTTCAAGTATTTTTTTTTCACTACTGACTACATAAATCAATGTATAACTATTTTGGACAATAGAATTTCTTTTTCTTTTTTCTTTCATCACCTGTTTGATATTATTCTCTTAGGGTTTACTGGTTTTTTTTTGTCTATATGTGCAATTAAATAACACGCGGAAATAACTTAATTAGTAGATATGTATGTATAAAAGACGAAATAAGGAGAAAAAAACATAGAAGATAGAGAGATTATAGGATTATTGTAATTGTAAATGTTAGCATGACTATTTTATAATATAAACAATTTTTTTTTAATTTTTATTTTTTAATTCTCACCTGGATTTTCATTATTTAATCGTTGTTTCGAATCGACCTAAAGAATAAATAAAAACAAAAGACAGTTAATTATCAGTATAAATCAATTTCAATGCTATGTTAATGAAAGATAAGTCAAGCCCACCTCATCACGATATTTCCTGGGTTATGCTAACAGACTTTTACAAACCTCTCATGATGCACATCACAAGATAATCTTTGTACCTCGCTCAAGGGCACGTTCATGGAAATGCAGCTAAAATGCGAGTGTCTGATGGTCGATCGGGATACGGATCCCTATCGTGAATGATTATCGATGTCTTAGCGGAATTTTCGATAGAAATGAATATCAGAATCGGACTGAAGTGCGCTTAAAGCTCGATCTGAAAGGAAATGAATATCTTAATTATTGTGATTTAATGAGAATAGAAAAAACAAGTCGAAATTATTTTCGTTTTTATTTTTCTTTGATATAAATTAACAAATTGGAGAAAATAGAATTTTATTTATGTCTAACTTGTACTTTAAGTACAAAATATATTATTTATATTCTATGATCTTATGTCAATATGCTTAAATTTCAATAATCTGATATCTTTACAAGGAAATCAATAATGCGTAATAGATGATAACAATGAATATGAATTATGAATGGAATATATTGGATCTAGACATTAATTAAAAAAACTGTTTTTTTGAATTAATTTATTCTACGCAGACATATGTGCAATGTTGATGTAAATATTGACGATGAGTCATTGTGGCCCAGGCACCACTGATTACACTGGTAGCTGTATTCGCTGCAACACTGAAATATCAACTCTTACAAATTACACTTGTTGAAGCAGTATACTTCAACCTTTCAGTAGATATTGGTTACAGGGTGCACTAACTACATTGAACCCAGTAGTCAGTAAACTAAATTGCACATTCTTTGATAGACAGAATTTAAATTTTGAAACAAAAACTGTTAGTTTAATTTTCAGATAATTCACCCTACTGATATCGAAAGGTAAAGATGTTGAAGTCTTGAAAAAAAAGAAAATATCGAAAGTAAAATTGTCGAAATATATATTTTTATGATAATTCTGATGTTTAACATTACTAGCGGTAAAATAGAAACATGAACAGGAAGTGAATCTTCCTATGACACCATAGAAATCCCACTCACAACCATGCCCTACCCATACCGACAATGGCATTCATACCTCACACCTACACATTTTACCTTTTTATATTTCGACATTTTTACTTTCGGCCAATGTAGGATTTACCATTCAGATAAGCAATGACATTCTTTAAAAACTTCTTTTTTTTTTATTTGCTATAGATGTTTTTCTTTTTCTCAAAGATTTTCATTGATAAAGAAAACAAACCTCCATCGTTGATGTTTCTGAAGTGTTTATTTCATGGGAACTATTTTCTTCATGACTCTAGAGAAATAGAGAAAAACAAAGAAAACAAAATAAAATTTTAAGAAATAAACGTTATTTACTTACTCGATTATTTTCATCTGATGATATTGATTTAAGATCAGTAGAAATATCAAAATGATAATTGTCAGGATCAAGATTTCGATTAAGTAAAGCCTAAAATAATTTTGTAATAAACATTTTATAATGATACAAAAAAAAAAAAAAAAAAAAAAAAAGAAAATAATTACTTGACGTAATTTTTCAAGAAGTGATCCTTTAAGTTCTTTTTTATCATAAGATATGTTAAATGAACGAAGTTCACGTTGTAAATCAACAACACGTAAATCATTTAATTTACGTTGTTTGACTGAATTTGTTGTTGACGTCATTGACATGTTTCTATTGATTTATATTATAGACAAAATAAATATATGCACATCTACAAAGAAGATTTTTGTTTTTCTTCAATTTAATTTATGGTGTTCATCTATTAACCATAGATATTATTTATGACAATAATTAGAGGCATGATATGTTTTTGTTTATTATCAAGTACATGAGTATATATATATATACATACACGCATAGTTATACATCCATTTTAAATACAATGAAACCTCTGATGAGATAGATGACGTTAGTATTCGATCTATTATGTAGTTTCACTTGATAAAATATCTTGTTTGGTACTAACTTTTAATATTAGATCCATCTGTAATTGTGTCTATTATTTAACAGTTATTAATGAGATGATTTAGATTAATGATATATCGATAGATAATCTTTTGTTATCGTGCTTTTCCTATGTGAGAAAAATAAAATGAAAAGAAAATAGTATGCATGTGTTTAATTGTATGAAAATATTCTAGAGCTTTGGTTTGACAGTTTGAATCCAGAGAAATGTTTGAACTATTGAAATTTGACTAAATTTCGAAGATTCTCGGAATATAAATCACAAACACCTTACAAAACAATAAACAATTAATAATACAAGCAAAGCAATAAAATTGAAAATAGTACTGAAAAAAAATCTTGATTTTTTTTTTATGAATAGCAAATGTTCGAATATGACAATAAACAAGAAAATAAAACAAAATTTCAAAACTTTGTTTATCATTAACAATTAGAAATCTATTGTTCAATGTATTGAATTCTACGAAATCTATCATCATATCAAATTTTTGCATTTAGAAAAAACTTTTTTTGTTCCGCGCGTATTTAATAATTCTATTTTAGGTGATGAATTTCAAACAGATCAAACTATTATCCAAAAAAAAAATATTGGACTTTTAAAACAATTTAGAGGCATTGTGAAGTAATCAAATTCTTTCATGGAATAATTTGAAACATTTTAATTATCAAGTGACTTCAGATAATGAATAATGTTGACGAAACAATTTATAATTTACTTAATCATTCATCTAAATCTTCATCTTCTCAATCGACTAATTCAAAGTAAAAATTTTTACATTCAGAATGACCAAAAAGAAAAAGAACAAAAATGATGCCCTTATAAAATATAGTTTCTACATTTATATAATATTTAATATTTGAATCAATTTCTTTTGCAATATATAGAGCTGAAAACAAACACTACTAAATAGAACTATTTTTACTTTCAACACATTCCATCATAAGTGTAGACAAAGAAGAAATCTCTATTCTAGAATGGAATCATATTTTCTAAATTCTAATCTTTTGTAAAAATTCAATAACTAAACATTATTATGATCTAAAATCCTCAGGGTATGTTTCTAGAGGTTTATGGTTTACATATGCATATAAATCATTTTGCATTATTGCTGAATTTCTATCAGAGTTCTCATAATAACCCGGTTTTTTCGGCCTAGAGGACGAATCAGGCTGACTAATGTTTCGTTTTTTTTCAAGACTACTAAGTTCTATAACCTTAATATGGAGTCTGGATGATCATATGTGAAGAAAGATGACCCATACTCATACTTTCACAAAGTTATAAGTTTTGCATGAAGTATGTATCGTACTAATTTTGTTATTTGATTATTTAAATTCGTTTTCGTTACGATCAATTATATGTTGTAGATAAAATGTTTCATTAGTTATAAAAAAATATATTTCAAATATTGATAAATTTTGATTTCATAATGAGTAACAAAGTACAAAATAGTAAAACAGAAAAGTACAGTACTTTATGGTTACAAGAAATTTTTACTCAAAAATAAATGTTAATAAGAACATTTCTTGTTTTCCGATGAGAATGTACCGTGTTTCAACATAGATTTCATATTTAATGGATTTGTTGTTTGTTTTCTAATAAATATTTCTTAGACAACATTATTATCGATCAATATTTACTTCAAATGTATTACAAAATTTCAATAAAAACAAACATTCTCATCGTACAATGGGTTTAGCTATTATACCTAAACCTGATCCAACTCATCCACTTCAACGACGTCAAAATTATATTGAATTACCTAAAAGTATATTTTAATTAATTTTTATTTATTGAATATTTTTATATTTATATTAGTTATTCCATTTATTCGTTCACATCGAATGCCACCAATACCAAAAGTAAATCAACAAGATAATAAAAATCAAATAGAAAAATCATCAAAAAATTTTATTGAAGAAAATATAAATAAAATGAAAAATTCTTTACCAATATGTCCACGTCGATATATTGTTTCAGATAGAAAAGGAAATAAATTTCTTATTGATGGTAGTGGTTTAGAAAAAGATTTTATTTATAAAAAAGTATTCATACTATTTTATTCTTCAAGCTTCCATTTTATCTATATAGAACTATGGTAAAACTCCACGTTATCTCGAAGCACGTAAAATAGTTCATGAACAATCACATTGTCATTCTGAAGATAATTCAATGATTATGCTACCACCAGAAGAACGCCTTTCTCTTATTAATAGTAAATTTCCAAAAATATTTAATTGAATAATCGTCATTCTTCTTTTGTGAAACACGATCTAAAACGAGTATTGAAGTATAGGGAATAAAAATTTCGACTCTACGCCTCTCCTCCCACAGACCTTGACAAACTATCACAGATCATATATCATTAACGTCTCATTATAATATATAAACTATTTGTTTATTGCATTTCTGTACGATTAAGTAAGAGGATGGTAAAGAACTATGTCCCAATATAGATCGAATAAAATAATCTTCTCGTGATTGACAAGAGCAGCTGCATCGTGTTTTACATTTTAATCTCACAGAGACTCTGCGCTAACAGCTATTGTATTTTGAAAATTTAGATTTAAAAGATCGTTATGAAGATGTATTTACTGAATATCAACATTTACCATTACATCTTGAAACAATATCAAATATTATGAAAAAAACAAATTTAACTAATGAACTAGTTAATATTGAACATGATATTGATTTTCTTGAAAAGCATCAAAAAATATTTATTGTTAATAATTATTCAGATATTAACAAAAAATAATTCAATAGAAAACAAAATACATAAATAGTCTATTTTATTTGTGCAGCTCTGACTTGTATTTACTTATTTTGATTTGCATTCTAAAATAATCTTAATAAATACCAAAAAAAAAAATAAATCAATAGAATAAATTTTGTTTTTGTACTTGTATTAACATGATTATTGTTCATGCACCGGAAGATCTCTCAATAATTGTTTTCATTATTTATTTCAAGCTAAAATAACAAGAGAAAAAAAAAGAAATTTTTAATTTTAAAAAAAAAAATTTCTATGAAAACAATAATTTCAATACAAAACCCAAATAGAACAAATTCCATCAATAATTAGTTGATCAATTGCATAAAAATATTCTTCAATACAATTATTATCATAAATCGTCATTCTAATATTATCAAAAATGTATAGAGTTATAAAAATAGATTATTCAATGACAACAATATAGACAAATACTCAATAGATAAACGAAATATTCTTATTACCAGCAAAAAAATGTAGAAAATTGGCATTTTGCTAATAGAACAAACAAAAAAATCCGTCTTTTGCATGTCAATGTAATTTGATGTGATGAATGATGTTCAGTCTTGATACATGTGAACTAGAATCAATTTTCAACAATCAAACAATACAGAAAAAAAAATATATATGTTATAGTCAAAATTAAAATTCAGTCAAATTTAAAATTTGATGAATCATCTGAGCAAATTTTAAATTTGAGTGAATTTTAATTTTAACTACAACATATATATAAAACAAAATCAACTTACGACAAATTTTCGATTCTTATCTTATTTCACAATTCAATCAGCAAGTTTTTTTTTTTCATCGAAATCCAAATTTGTGTATTTCTTGAGATAATATTCTTCTAACGTTCAGATAATCAACAAGAAATTATTATCAATTAATCTTTTCAAATCTTCCTATTCTCAAAAAGCAAGTATCAATATATACATATATATATAGAAAGATATTTATGTTATTGTTTTGTCCATTACATTTTTTTTTTTGTTTTGGCATCTACTGACATCAACAACGAACATAATTTTGTGTGAGAAAGGCAGAAATAAAGAAAGAGAGAAAGACAAACAGAAAACGCAAAAAAAAACAAACAATGAGAGAACAATAAAGATAGACAATATAGACAAATATATGCATGAAAGTTTTCATCATGATCATCATCTATCTCCAGAAATCAAAGAGCGACTTCAATCCAAATATATCCATCAATCAAACATGTACAATTCAACAAACTCAAATGTTTAGTTTTTTTCTTCATTGTTTTCATTTCAACGATATGGTGATCGTCCTCGTGCACGGTCATAAACACCGGCATTCGGACCAGCAACACCTGTAGTACTAAGCACACCTCCAACGGAGCGTTGCGTACTAGTATTCGATGTCGTATATGCGTTCAAAGATGAACCAAGACCAGTGACGCCACCAACGCCAACACCGGTGCCCAATACACTTCGACCACCGGCAAATGATGATGTCGGCTGTGTACGAACCGATGATACGGTTGATACTCCGACAGGTGCTGATTGACCCAAACGTGCATCGTCATCTTTGTAGAATGAGCCTGGATGATATGTATAGATATGAATTCAAGTCAAGTAAGATTCAAACCAAAAACAAGCAACCAAAAAAAAAACAAAACAAGAAACAAATCTCTTATACATACCGCCTGATAATTGTGATGATAATTGTGATGTTCCAGTTAAACCTGATGATTGTTGATAATTTGAATATCCACCAGCAAGTGATGAATAAATTGAACCTAATAATTTTACATGATTATTATTATTATTATTATTATTATTATTATAAGAAGAAAGTAAATAACGAACTAGCATTTGAATATGGATCAACATTTAATGATGATGAACCTAAACCAGAATTTGTTGATTGAAGTCCTAAAAAAATAAATTTTAAAATATAATTTTTAT